CAAAGTCATAAGAAAGACATCAGCCAGATTAGAATAAAGGAGCAGATGTCTTAAAGAGGCAGAAGATATCAAATGTAAGAAGTAATCTTCAAATTAAGGTATTTCTATGTCTGAATACTTGTGTAATTTGCAAAAAGGTCAATATAACTAATACATTGCTCTTGAGTTGTCATATTAAATTGGATGATATAATTTGTGTCATTTATATTTATTTACAAATGCAAATAAATGAAATATTTGCCCTTCAAATATCAGAAATAATTATTATAAGTATTTAATCATATTATTTAAAGAAGAATGGCCCCAAAATATCACCAGATCATTAGGTGGAAGAAGTTCCAAATTTTTCAAATATTGAATATATTTTAATGAATCCTAACTTAAATATTTATGCAGTGATATACTGCCAGAAATAATACATGAGGAACATATTACTTCACAGTAAGAAGAATTTAATATCACCCTACAGAATTTCCATCTCTACAAGGTTTAGGAATTATTATATCAAGTTACTGGTCAAAATGTTCTAAATCTAATTAGACAATTTGATAATTTATAAGACTGTATAGTATTTTTAAACAACAGGCAAGATTTTACTTAAACATTTGTATAAATAATAAAATTATAGTTTGTTCACTGTTCTTTCTTTGAAGTAACATTGCTATTGACTAATGCATTATAAAGTTAAGTAAAAGGGGTCTAGCTCTGTACTTTAGAAAACTACATTATTTTTCCTTTCAAGAAGACAAGCAACAACAGATATTCAGCAAAATATTTCCCAGAGAAATATTAATTGTAGATATGAACACAATTTTCATATTCAAAAGTACATAAGAAAATACATGTAAAGTGCATTGCACACATAACATAGGACTTGTTGATATACCTCATATTTTGAATGATGTATTATTATAATTTTATTTTTGTTGCCTTTCCAAAGTCATCTTCTACAACCTGTGGACACTCTAGTGTAGCTGCATTGGCCTCTGTTTGTTTGAACACTTTATGCACATTCCCATTTCAGGAGTATATTTCTGTATTACAAATATTTCTTATAATAAATTATCATTATAAATATTTCTCAAGCATATTACATCTATAGATAGGTTTGTGTTGAGGATGAAGACCCACAATCCAATTAACTGTATCTAGTTTTGTTAAAAAAGAACTATTATATATCTATTTTTTAGGCGTATGGTCTAGTGGCTGAATAGCCAAATTTCCAGAGAACAAAACACCATCATGGTTACAGGATGGCTGGAAAGTCACCTCTGTGGCCACAGGACGTGCATGTGATCCTAAAATCACTGTAATGGACAACAGGGAAGGGCATATTTTCAGTTCACAGGTTAAGCTAAAGGATGTTTTGGACATTATTAAATACACTGTGTAGGAGTATGTGACACTTATTTGTACAGAAAATGATGTATAGTGTTTAAGGATTCTCTTTTGTGCAGCAGAAGCAATCTCTTACTGGCTTCAAATTCTTGATTTACACTTATTAGCTACTTATTTCAATTGATTTATAACTGTCCTCACATATTACCTCATCAGGTAACCCCTCTATCTGAAAAAGTACCTTAGTTAATTAATTTTTCTTTACATTATTTATAACCAACTAAATGATACAGTCTGGAATATTTTATTGCTTCCTTTTCTGTTAGAATGTATATTCCATGAAAACAGTTTTTTGTTTTGATTCTATTTGATTCTTAACACCTAGAAGAATTCTTGATACAGACTGGGTTCTCAATATTTATAGAATGAATTATTATTGAATTATCATATTCATCCAATCCTCCTTTCTTTGAGATATCAGTATATTTAATTGCATTTCTTTTTCTAGGAAAACCTCACTTGAAAACTGGAAAAGGCTCAAGTGGGGAGGAAATTTGTTGTTTTTTCTAATGGAGAAGATAAACAATTTGGCAAGTTATTCAAAATCCTAAATCCCTGACAGGTAGAATGAAGGCATGACCTCCATTCCTGCCAAGTCCTTTAAACAGCTCTGTGAATCTTTAATTTTGTACTGTGTTCTGGGCCAATAAAGAGGTCATGTACATTTTATTCAATATTGTAAACAATATAGAGGTAATTGCATTTGTTTTAGCAAATATAGTTTAGTAAATTTGCCTAATGTTGACACTGTGACAACCACCTGCATTCTTATGAATTTATTTATGAGCAACTATTTTAGATGAAGAGTTAGTAGATAACTAGAATCAAAACTGATAATTGAATTTAGATTTCTGATCACAGGCATATTGGCATGTGCATACTCACACTGTTTAATCTTGATACAGAGCAGTTTGTAAATACATTAGATACTACCCAACTATGTAGGTATATATTTGAATTTTTAAATTCCCAAACAATATATATTTGGATTTTTAAATTGCCAAACCAATGCATTAATATATCTTTAATATATTGGGTTTAATATCTTTCTGGGGATTAATTGTAGGTTATTCCCTATTACACTGAATGTTTGTAATTTAGTCCATTTTCTATTTATTCGCTATAACATTTAAAGAAACAGGAATAGTTTATAGATACTTGTTTTGCCCAGGTGTCAGAGCTCATCTCCTACTAATGTGATACTTCTCCACACTGATTTCTGTTTGATTTTTAAACAATAGATTTATTATGAGGGGATGATGGGCTGCTATGAAATTATCACTATCTTTTTCTCTTTCTCTGCTAAAGAACAGAGGCATCAGAGAAGCCATACATCACAAAAATCATCTTGAATCCTCCTGCTCCAAAACATGAAGATTTAGAAAGGGTAATGATAGGGTAATAAACCATCAGATTTAAGTTAATTAGGTCCTCAATTTAGTTCTTCGCTCTGTCAAGGATATCCTTGCAAATCTATAAAATTACTTCTTGTTGTATATTAAGAAACTATTAACATTCCACTGACACCATAGAATATTTAGTACATTTATTTACAACATGAAAATTTTAAAGAATAAAATTAAAAGAGAATTTTTAAAAATATTACTTGATTATGTTTTATATTTGACATATAATCCATAATTTTCTTCTAGCACTTACTTGATTCTAAACATTTCCATTCTGGAAAATCAATTCATTTGAAGTTTTGAAGAATTTTGTTAGGACAGTACAACAGGAAATTTAAATTTTTCATAGGAACAAAATCTTTGTAAATAGGGAGGAATGGAGGGGTTGAAGGGAGGGCTGGGCAAGGGTGAAAAATAAGAACCAAGAGAGATTATGTAAAGGTGCACATTTCCAATGATGAATGTCATTATATTGTATACCTAAAATGTACCGATTATTAGAATGAATAATCGATAATGTAAAATAGGAAGAAAAGGTCCAAAGGGGTAGGGGTAGTGGGAGGGGCAGGGGAAAGGAAAGAAGGGAAAGGAAAAAATGATGAGAAATGGAAAAAATGGAAATAAATTCTTTGTAAATAGAGAGGGGAGGACGGCGTGAAGGAGGCTAGTAATGGGGAAAAAATAAGAACCAAGATGCATTATATAAAGGTACAATTCCCAATGAGAAATGTAATTGTGTTGTATACCTACAATGTACCAATAAAAGAATTTAATACAAAAAAAATTTTTTTCTACACTGAAGTTAAATGTATATATTAACCTCCAAATTCACCAATTTTAAAAAATTTTGTCGATAGTAACTAGAGACTGTCAAAAATCTGCTGAAACTAAACTATGGACTCTATACTCCTTTGAAAATTCTTTTAGTTGTAACAAATACAACTTGCAATACCAATGTTTATACAGCATTTCCTTGGGTAATGAAAACATACAAAAGAAAATCCACATATACCCACTTTATTTCTTTGAAGTCTATATCACTCAATCTATTGTTGTACTTAAAATCATTTATCAAAATCTACTGTACCTTTACATTTCAATAAGATTGAGTTCTTATCAAGATGTCATTATGCAAAATTGACTTTTGCCATAACAATATGTTGTTTTTTCTTTTGACGTTCTTTTTAAAATTTATATAAGGAAGACAGTGTTTGGCAAATATATCAGGGAAACTTAAAGAGACAAATTTTTCGGTCCTCTAGAGAGACTCAGTATGACAAATATCCAGATTTCCAAGTAAATTATTACAGCTTCATGTTAAACTGTTATGGTTTTAAACTCATGAAAAATACCTTTTCTATAGCACTTCCAAATTTTATTACATTGTAAAGATCAACTTTTGTGCCCACAACACGTTGAAAATATGGAAAGTTCTTGTCATGTAAAGGAAAAAAGAAGATCAACTAGATTAAGATATATTTGACATTAGAGGACAGAATTTTCTTCCACTCAAACATAAAATTAAGAAACAATAAAAAATTTTATAAACAATATATAAAACACATTATTTTACTTTACCCAATTTTAATGCCCGTAAATAGCTGACATAGTCTATTTCTTATTTTAAAAACTTACTGCTGCAAGTTCTTATTATTTACTTCATGCACAATATTTTCATGATTACAATCTGTGAAAATAGTACATCTTGAATCTCAAATGCCAAAGGAATTTCCATATGTGCATATAAAATAACAAAATTTCAAAAGTCTATATTGTATCTGTACATTAAGCAATAGATAAGGATATGCTAAGCAGAGATTTTATTTTGGCACACTTAAACGTAACGCACAATGTCTGAAATTCTGTGTTGCTCATTACACTGACAATAAGAATCATAATGATTTGAACATCTAAGCTACAGACTATATTTAAAGAAAATTAATAATTATTAAAAAACTCTTGGAACTCAAATAATTCCTAATGGTACAGAGATGGAGTAGAAGTAAACTTACCACTCCAAAAATTATCATTAATTATGAAAACATATGTACTATTACAGTTTTCTTTTGGGGGCAGAATTCTTGAAGACCGTGATTGCATACAAATTCAAAGATTTCTATTTAATATTAAGTGAGCACTTTAAAGAATAAGTAAACTCAAACTCTGGCTTTCATTTATATAAGCAAAAACTCCTACCGTGCTCTAGAATCCTCTTTTTTGTCATCTGCCATGATCTCCAAATTTTGCAAGCGTTTCTCAAAAGCTTCTTTGAAAAAATTCTCCTGTGGCACTGCTTTAGGAGTATCTTCATTTACTTGAAGATGTTCTATCAAGTTTTGTTCTTGCCAATTCTGAAGAGTTGTTTGATGGACAGGACCCGGTCCTGTCACTGGTGCCAGTATATTGTTGTGGACGGAACTGTTGCCTTTCTTTAGTCTGTTTCTGTCCTGAGAGTGGCTCTTCAACCTGCCCTGAACCGAGGTCCCTCTCCGTTCATATCCTTCCTGCTGAAGGCAGCTTCCACTGTTAAGGGAACCTTGAGAAAGATGACTGAACCACCTCCAGTGTAGCCTTAGAATCTGCTTCACATCAAACTCTTTCTTGCCAGACACTGACATTGTATTCGCAGGAGAAAAGACAAAAGCCTTTTCCAACAGAAAGGAAACGGAGCCTTTGTTATCTCTTGTTTCTTTGCCTCTTCTGTAGAAATAACAAAAGCAAAAACGCGGAGAAACCAATCTTTCTTCCTGTTTCTCCCCTCCCCCCCTGCTGTGTACACTGAATATTTCTAGCTTTCTAGCTGAAGCAAAAAGCTGCAGTTAACAGTGTAGATGGGAACCCGGACTGACAGGATGATGAGGTCAGACCTTAAACAAGTAAATCAGTTTAGCACAGGAAAGCAGCTACCACAACACACTCCAACTGCTAGTGCTTCAAATATCTAACCCAGCTTTTTCAGTACCAAAATGCAGTGGCTGCAATTTAAACCCAGGCAAGTAAGAACGAAGTGTTTAAACTCATTTCCTTCTAGATTTCCTCACCTTCCCTTGCCAGATTCTTTTCTAATACATTCATTTTTAAAAGTGTGCCACAATGTCCTAGGAGAATTTGTGACAAGAGCATTCATTATGATCTATTTGGGGATTCTTATGGAAAATTTGAAAGTCGTTTATTAAAGAAAAATATCTTCCTATAATTACCCTCATATAGATTTGTAGTTATATCAAGGTTCATCTGAATATGTTAACCCCTCCATGTAAACCTTCATTTAAAAACCCGAGTAACTTAAAAAATATAAGAAAACATTCGTTACCCATAAGTACACACACATAATCCCCCCAATACACATACACACCCCAGTATAGAATGTAAAACTGTATTTTAAGCTTACATATTCTTTTCTCCATTTGTCAGATAAGAAGAGATGTATTCTCTTTGTGACCAAAGCTTGAAAATGAATAATTCATCTGGCTCCACGCCTATATAAATATCTCCTTATCATGCCTTTTACTTTCATAGACAACATTACAGGACTATGTTGTTTGTTCAGAAGTCCTTATGAAAGAATGCAACAGGTCATGTTTTGATTTAACACAAAATCACCACATGGTTCCATATTGTCCCCAAATTACTCTGAGATCTGAAATTAGAATCACTACTTTCTGCCGAGATAAATGTTTATACAACACATTGTTATGTAACAGGAATGTATTTAACAATGCCATTTTGAAATTTTGTTTGAAATGTATCCAGCTGCTATGTCTTGCATACATGTGATTAGGGGGTAATTGTAGTAGTGCGTCATTAGGAACAACATTGAATTTGCTAGTTTTGGTTTTATTTCTCGCTTAGTGTTTTTTTGTTGGGTTTCTTTTTGTTTTGTTTTGTTTTGTTTTTTTGGTACAGGGGATCAAACTCGGGTCCTTAAGCTTGCACAGCAGGTGGCGAAAACACTGAGCTAAATCCCCGGCCCAATTCTCCTTTAATGTTAATGAATCACGTCACCTTGGAAAAGTGCCTTTATTTCTTTACATTGCATTCCTCTATTATGGGAAGAATGAACAGATTTCTAAGTATTCACCAGCACCAATGTGCAATGAATTTAAAATAAGCTTAAAGGATGAAATACGCTCTTCTTGTAAGTTTTGGAATGCATTTTTATGTCCAGTTTTCTATAAATCCAATTATATCTTTTCCTTTTCCCTCTTCTTTTTGTAGGTGTGATGGTTAATTAATGTATTAATTTGACTGAGATATGAGATGTCCAAATACTTACCTAACCATTAATTTGGTTATTTCAGTGAAGATGTTTGAGCCTCCTTAATCATTTAAGTTAATTCCATATAGTAAATGACACACACACACACACACACACACACACACACACACAAAATACTATTAGTTCTATTCTCTTGATTACCCTAATATGGTATGTCCTTTCTCATACTTGAAAATTAATAAATGCACACTGGTATATAGTTCACTTTTATATTTTATATTATTTATAAATAGGTTATTCTCATTTCCAAATTTCCAACCTCTTTTTCAACAGATTTTTAAACTCCAGTGTTAGAATTTAAAATCATCTCTCTTTGGTGCATGTGCTGCCAGTACTCGGCATATAAATAATTGATGGAAATCTCAAAAAGTTTTTCTCATAATTTCCAGGCATATCAGTAAGTACTGCCAAGAAACGTGAATTGCCTCCCTTTTATCTAGATAGCTAATATACCAAGTAAACTTAGAAGTATGATCTGTGTGTTCAACATGATACATCTAGACAACAATGTTACAGTAGAAGTAAACTATAATTACTACACAGAATGAATGAAATGCTATGATCGGTGTGTAATTTATATGTAGCAGAAACATGGAAAAATACTAAATTGGCCAACTTTAGTAATTCTGAATAATACCTTTGCTGTGGTTTGAATGTGGTTTGTCCCCTTGGAGTTCATGGGTTGGAAGCTTGGTTCCCTGTTTAGTGATGATAAGTGGTAGAATTTTCATGAGGCAGACTAATAGGAGTCAAGACATTTGAGACCATAATCTTAAAAGGAATTAAAGTAGGTCTTATGGGACTCTGAGCTAGTTCTCAAGATAAAAGATCAATCTGGACACCTGAGCCACTCTCTGGCTTCCTACATCACTATGTGATCTTTCCGTTTCTCAGGCACTCATGTCATTGTGAAACCTTCCACCATAAGGTCCTCACCAGTGGCAAGCCATTGTAAGTGCCATACCCTGGAATCTTCAAAACCACACATTAAATAAATGCTGTTTCTACACAAAGTACCCAGCTTTAGATATCTCATTATAGTAACATACAAAAAACTCATACAATCTTTTTATATATTAAGAATCGAAAACACTATTTTTCCCCATTTCCCTGCCATGCCTTCAACCCCTCCATCCCTCCCTATTTACCAAGGCTTTATTTCTGTTTTTTCCTTTTCTCATATTTCTTCCTTTCCCTTCTTTCCTTTTCCCTACCTCTCCCACTTCCCCTTCCCCTTTGGAACTTTTCTTCCTATTTCACATTATCTACTCTACATTTTGATCCTTATTTACTCTTTTAGGAAAACACTATTTTTTGCATATGTCCCTTCAGCTATTTTTTATTTAGATTCAATTATATATTGTCTGTGTATTTCTTACAATAATATTAATAATAATTGATATCAGTTAAAATTCAAACTTTGATAACATAATACATACATACATTTACTGGGAATATGCTTGATAAAAATATTCCAATTATGGCTATTTTCCTAGATCTTGGGTGCAGAGAGCAGAATGACTAAGAAAGATCTTCCATAAAATAACTAAAGATAATATTTTATAAGGCATCTTGGATTCTTTTCAATTTTTATATATAAATGATTTAGGCACATTTGAACAGAAATGAAGAAAATGTGAGGGTAGTAACCTTATCTTATTAAATCACTTCCTTCCCATCACCTTCTTATTTACTGTGTACTTAATAATATTTAAACTATGTAAAAGGAATGAATGAAAAATTTTAGTAGAATTTAATATCATATAAATTTATTTTCTCAAAGAAGGCTGAAATTTTTAAATCAAAGAAAATTGCAAAATAGCTATGAAGATAAAATGTCTAAGTAGTTAGTGATTATACCTGTAAAGAAATAAGACTAAAATCCAGTTGAATATTCTGGACAACTGAACACCCGTGAATTCTGTTGCTATTGACTCTGAGTACAAACTTGGCCAAAAAATTAGTTTCTAGATGACTGCTAATTGTACAGCAGTTCACATTATTCGAATGTACTGTATTTGAGAGTAGTTTGTTTTATTTCTCTCTCATAATTATTTAATAACACAGCTTAAAGAACAACAACAATCATAGACTTCCATGTATTAAAAGATGCACAAGAACAACCCATCAGTCTCTCAACATGAAATGTTTTACTTTCAATTAACTACATCGAGCTACATCAGACGTATACAAAATGTAAACACACAATTTTGAAACAACTTTGCCCTGAATCATTACACTCAAATTACCAGAAAATGTTGTAAGATGTAAAAATCATTAAATTAGACTTGTAGACAGTTAGTACCATGATATCTGCAAAAAACGGTCACAGAATGGGGTGACATTGCTACAGTAAAACTACTATTCACATGCATTTAGATGAACAATTTCTTCACTGTTCATCTGTATAAACAAATAGAAATAAATAAATTGATGCTGACTCTTTTTCCATTTTAACAATAGCAAATAATCATTTTTGTTACTGGAACTGAGTCAAAAAAGCATCCCCGTTTGTCTCAACAAGCAATGCATTCCCAGTGAATTTTTACTATTTGTTTGATATTTTTTAAATGTAAAATATATTTGTGCTGTTTTAATTGTATTCTAATTATTATAAGATTATCTCAATAAAACTGTAATTAGAGTCAAAGAAAAACTTTTAACAATAAAATTCAATTTTCAGACTTATTTTGTATTTATTAGTTTAAGTTTTCTGTATATGCAATTTGCGTTAAACTTAGTGAGTAGCTAGATGAACATCTTAATTCATTTTTGTTTCTCTTCTCCTTCCTACCCAATTCAGTCCCTCCATCTCTAAATCCCCTGTCCCTATTTTCATTACGGTTGTTATTATTTTTAGTTCAAGTTTACAACATTTACTGTTTACATTCATTGTGGGTATTTGGTATGAGTACATGACACATTGTAAATCTCCTTACTTTCCCTTAGCCTCCCCCCCACCCAGAATCTTGGTCACCTGGACCCCTTCCCATTTGTAAAAGATCAATCTCCCTATTTCCTTATATCTCTTCCTTGTTTTGCTCTTTATTGGTAATTTTCCTTAATACCACACTGTATTTCTTTGTGTGTCTGATTTATTTCATTTAACATTGTATTTTCCACATGTAGCAATTTTTCTAAACATGTTTCAAATTTATCCTTCTTTATACCCAAGTAGTATTCCATGAAGTATAGATACTGCATTTTCTTTATTTATTCTTTTATTTATTTATTCTGTTGATGGACACACAGGATTCTTCCAAAAGTTAGCTATAATGAATTGTGCTGCTATAAACAATGGTATGTATGGATCTCTGTGATAAGATATTTTTAGAATTTTGGGGAAGATACATAGAAGAAGAATAGATGCATTAAATGGAATTTGTAATTTTAATTCTTTGAGAAATCTCCATACTGATTTCCATAATTGTTGTATTAGTTTACATTCCCACCAACAATGTAGGAGGGTTCCTTTTTCACTGCAGCCCCATGAGCATTTATTACTTGATATCTTGATAATTGCCATTCTCATTGATGTAAGATGAAATCTTAGCATTGTTTTAATTTGCATTTCTTTACTGGTCAGAGATGTTGAATATTTTTTCATGTGTTTCTTGGTCATTTGTACTTCTGAGAAGTGTCTGTTTCATTTGCCCATTTTTTGATGGAGTCT